AATTTATGTATATAAAAATAACTGTACCTAATATAACACGAACTGATTGTAGTAGTTGTTGTAAATTAAAACACTATATGAATGTACATCTATGGAGCCAATTTTAGGTAGTGTCAGATTGATTGTGCAACTATATGCGGAGTTTCGTTTATATTTATAACGTTTATCGTAAGGGATTCATTTTTATGCTTAATAAATGAGCGAAGGCGGTAACGGAGCCTTAAGTTCTGGTATTTTGTCGGGATACATCAACAATGTTCACTGTTTAGTTATATTTAAGCCAATTCAAAACATTGACACTCCCTTCCAATAAAGCGTTTACGTATATAGTAAATTAATTCAATAGTTAGTTTAAATGACCTTTATATTGACTGCTTTAACGACATAAATTTGTTTATATTAGTATTTAGTATTAAATAAATATGTAGATCGTGTAAATCCGAAACTTTGATAAGACTGCAGGACTCTAATATAATTGTTTATTTTTATTAACAGGTCGCTGCTGGTAAGTATAATATATACATCTGTTTCTGTGTAGTAAGTCTATATTTAGGACATACACACATTCATTGTAATACATAATGGCAGTACAGATGCCCAGAATCAACAATATCTTTTTTACAATTACATTTTTTACAATTATAAATTCGAACATCATCGTCTTACAAGAATATGTTAAATGGTATATTTTTGGGCTTAAATGTCACCCAGAAAACCAGAGTGTTAGCCTGAGTGTTCTCGGTGGTTTCGTTCAATCGGTCTCCGGTTTAATCTAGTGTCACATAAATTAATGTCGGTTTCTGTCGTGTTTAATCAGCGATGAAAGCGATGTCATTATACTTTACAAGAAGTTGAATTTTTCAAAATCTAATAAAATCATAAAATAAAAATCATGGATGTCTGATAGAATTACGGAACGGATTCGGACTCCCGTGATGGTTCATGTCTTCAAACTGTAATTTGACGAGATATTCCACTAGGCCATATGTCAATAAAGGTAAACAGGCCCGTTGTACCAGCTGGAGGATGGCTTATTGATTAACATTTTCTTAATGTAGATATTAATAGTATTGGGTATAGTTTATGATATACTGCTATATTACTTTACCTCTTGTGATAGTCAATAATTCTAGGGGCAAAGATGCTACCAATTGGAACGTGTGCATATTCAAAAGCTACATTGTTAGCAATTCAAATTTTTGGTTTTGACACAAAACATATTCTTTCATCCAAACTGTTAAACTAACTGATTTGAATAGTATGTAATTTCTTGTTTATTTGTTTCGTTTATTTAGATTTGTATATTTCTGTTTGACTAAGGCTTTGATAACTATAATATATAATGATTATTTGATCAGCATAGTAAAAAATACATTAAATAAAATAAAATAAATGTAACAAGATATTTGAGGAGGAAACGGACCGACTTTTTGAAAAAAAAATGCATATGCCTCATATGGTAGGATGAAAATATCCCGTAAAATACCGCAAAATTACGACACGGGTGTAATCTATGGTATTACGGTGACAGATGTAAAATAATAAACTGTAATATTGAAAAATATATATTGATATAAAATTCACTAACATTTTTGTGTATTAGATTGTTCTGATTGCTACGGTACATGTCGCGCTAAAAAATGTGATAAGGGTGAGATAGTGGCTGAAGATACATGGTTTTATTCGTATTATGATTGGTTTTATCAATGCACTGAGAGTTGTGGAATAGGACGTGTGTGTTGTGTGGATGGTAAGTAAATAAGTAATTAGTAAGTTTTTTTACAAAATGTGTATTTCTACAAATTGTGCATCACGTGTATGGGTTTTATATTTCCGTATACATATTCGTTGAACATTTAATCATGGTGTTTGATTCATGTTGAGAATAACAACAATTGCCATGGTACATCAGTTGTAAACTCTTCATCTTATGTGACAGTGAATCGTGACGATGTATTTACTGCAGCGTTTGTTTACTAATATCAACAGATTGGGATTATAAAGAATGTGAAAATTATTGTGGTGGTATTTGTCGTGCTAAAAAATGCGACCGTGATGAGGTTACTGTAGAAGAAACATATTCATATTCGTATTCATACTCGTATTGGTATTCATATTCGTACTGGTATCATTCATATTATTCTACCTGTTCTGACTATTGCGGGGAAGGTCGGGTGTGCTGTGTTCCAGGTAAGTAGTTGACTTATTGTTAACTTAAACAGTATATGCGAATTGTGTTGGCATTCAAAAATAATTCTCAATCACTTAGTGTGCAGATAAAACAATGCGTTTTCTGCGTGACAGGTAAGTTGTAAGTTGTTGTAACTACCTAAAATATTTTGACTGCACTAGGTATATATCATTTCTTCGTTTTTGACTTAAACATAGCAATGTAGAGGGTATTTTGCATTACTTGTAAGATTTTATTGTGATGTACACTGTGTTTATATGATGTCAAGTGTAAATACGACGTGCAGGCAATGTTTTTTTTTTATTTCTGTGACTAGACATTAGTTTATTTCCCCATTTCCTTAACTCATATATATTGAATGGCTAATTTATAATTATATGAGTATAGTTTTATTTCTAAAATAAATTTCGCACTAATCAGGAAATAAAGTCTACTTGTTCCATGACCTCGAATTGAAATGTGTCCCCACTAATGTAAAGAATATATTTTTCGTGATTCAGTTTATTCTTTTCTCTCCACAGCCTAGCAAAGAGACAATCTGTAGAAAAAAGATGGACATACAACAATCATATATTACTAATATTATGTAGCTCTGGAAATAAAGCATATTCAAAAATATACTTTCCCCGTGTGTGAGACTGATTGACTAGTACAAAAATATTTGATGTTGGCATTTGTGAAACATTGTATAATATAAGTGTCAAAGAAAAACATGTTTGAATTGTTAAAAATATAATTATAGTATAGTATTTGTGTTAGCAATTGTCAGTAACAAACAAATATGGTAGACTCCAGGTGGCACGTTATACTGACTGACTTCAGTCAGTATAATAACTATCATTTCTATAACGGAGTTGAAAATTGGTTATACGCCTTTTAAAGATATTTGAAAAAGTTTGATGGTCATTCGCCTCATCATCGTGAGCCATTATAACTTGCGCCAGGGCAAAGCAACGCAAAGGTGTGATATTCAGTGCAAGGTAAAATACAGAAAGTCATAGCTACACCTTGATACATTTAAGGTCCAAGTTAATTGTCATAACATTGTATGTATATTTATAACCACAGCGGAAAATATATCTTAAAACACGACATGCGGAACACAACACCTAGGCGCATTTTCGGGACAAATCAATAGTATGTTGCCATGGTATGTGTTATGTACGTTCAATAATGGCTACTAAGAAGTTCAAACATGGCGCACAGATTCCCTTATGAAGCCAACTAACATAACAATATTTAAGAACAAAAGGTCACGGTATATATATACCTCGTAAATTAACATATTAATTAAAGCAAAAAACCGTTTAGGTTTACGTGTTACATTATAAGGCTTTTGATCTGTGTCGGCATGATGATACGAGTTTATTTCTGTTGTTCAATATGGAGTGGTGAGGTCTATTATGATAAATTTTCCTTCAAACATAAAATGCAGCGTTTGCTGAGATATTGTATGCCTTATACTATTTTCCTTGAGTGACCAAACATCTTACTTAGTTCTCATTTCTAGAGCCTGATTACGAAATGAGGCCGTGTAGTTTCTGTACCACATTTTAAATTCATTTCCAGTTAAATCCGACGCATGTTTCGCTAGGTTTTTGTCTAATCGCGTAACTTCCGCTTGGTATATGACGCCAGACTGCAAACACTTCCCGTCCAGTGGGCATGCTGCTTTCTTCTGGAAATTGCATAGCTTTAATTGGTCGTGATGTTCTTATTGGTCGCAGGTATTTACATATATTGAAACAAATCTAGCGCTGGTTGGCATCTCTGATTTGTGAATGCTATCTAGTTTGAACAGTATCGAGTTTGTAGGGAATGCACATCTGAATTAAATATGTGCATATATAATGAGGTCCCATGCAACGTTTCATCCAAATCTTGATATATATAATAATAATAATTTATTGACACAACACCGATATAGTACAATACGGCAGTATGGCCACTAAATACAACTATTAACTACATTTAAAATTGAATTAACATATTTGGCGAAAGGTATCATAAGATGAGTATCCAAAGCACTTAACAAATAAATGAATTTACATTCTTGATTTAGTTTTTCAAATTCTGGAAAGCTAATATTGTGAAAAAAAATGTTCTATTTGATTTAATATCTGAGTTTGAACAGTTCATAACATAGTGCTTTTCATCAACCACTTCAAATGAGTCGCACAGTTTGCATATTCTTTGTTGTTGATGGATATTATTGTACAGCCCTTTCTCAATTGGCAAGTTATGGCTTGAAATTCTTAATTTTGTAATTGCTGATCTTATTTTATAATTCAAAATTACTTTTAGATAATTTTCAAATTTGT